AGAATAAAAGACAAAATTCAACACCCTTTAATAACAAAAAACTTTCAACAACTAGGTTTTGAGAGAATTTACTGCAACATAATAAAGAACATGTATGAAAAGCTCACAGCTTATCATACTCATTAGTGAAAAACTGAAAGCTTTTCCTCTAAGACCAAGAGCAAGTTAAGAACGCCCACTTGTGTCACTTCTATTCATCATAGTACTACTAGTCCTAAACAGAGCAATGGGCAAGAAAAAAGAAATAAAAGCACCTAAATCAGAAAGGAAGAAATAAAATTATGTCTGTTGACAGATGGTATAATCTTATATTTAGAAAATTCTAAAGCCTCCACCAAAAAGTGATTAGAAATCATACATGAATTCAGTTGCAGGATACAAATTCAAATTAAAAAAATCAGCTTCACCCTGGCTGGTGTGGTTCATTTGGTTGGGCATTGTCCTGGGCACCAAAAAATTGCTGGTTTGATTCCTGGTCAGGGTACATGCCCGGGTTGCAGATTCTATATCCGATATCAGGTAGGGGGTATGCAGGAGGCAACCAATTACTGTTCAGCTTTCACATAGATGTTTTTCTCTTTGTCTCCCCCTCTCCCTTCCTCTATCTCTAAAGTCAATAAAAACATATTTAAAAAAAACAATTCCACTTACTATAGTATCAAAAAGAATAACATATACATAAAAATAAACTTAGCCAAAGAGGTGAAAAACTTGTACACTTAAAACCACAAATCATTGATGAAAAAATTAAAGAATACATAAATAAATGGAAAGACATCACATGTTCATGGATGAGAGGACTTAATATTGTTAAAATGCCCATACTACCCAAAGTCATCTATAGATTCAATGTAATCCTTATCAAAATCCCATAGTTTTTTTTACAAAAATTGAAAAAAATCATGAATTTCATACTGAACCACAAATATACTGAATATACAAAGAAGAACAATGCTAGGAAATATAGCATTCTGATTTCAAAATATACTTCAAAGATACAATAATTAAAACAGTATGGTACTTGCATAAAAACAGACATATAGACCAAAGGAAAAGAACAGAGAGCCCAGAAATCAACCCAGGCCTATAGGGTCAAATGATCTTCAATAAGGGTGCCAAGAATACACAATGGAGAAAGGATAGTCTTTAAAAAATGGAACTGGTAAAATTGAATGTCCATATGGAAAAGAATAAAATTGGACCCATATCTTACACCACACACAAGAACCAACTCAAAATGTCTTAAAAATTTAAATGTAAGCCCTGGAACTCTGAAACTTCTGGAAGAAAAACATAGGGGAAAACTTCATGATATTAAGCTTGGCAATGGTTTTTTAGATATGCCATCAAAAAACACAAGCAATAAAAGCAAAATTAGACAAATGAGACTACCCAAACAAAAAGGCCTCTGCATAGCACAAGAAACAACCACAGAATGAAAAGGCAACCTATGGGATAGGAGAGAAATATTTGTAAGCCATATACCTGTCATGTTATTAATATGTAAGAAAGTCTTATAATTCAAAGCAAGAACAAAAAACAAATAATCTGATTTAAAAATGGGTGGACATAGATATTTCTCCAAAGAACACAAACAAATGGCCAACAGATATATGAAAAAATGCTAAACATCACTAATATCAAAACTTAATCATGCAAATCAGAACCACAATGAGATATCACCTCACACCTGTTAGGATGGAGGGGATAAGTGTTGGCAAAGATGTGGAGAAATTGGAACCCTGTACACCAAGCATGTTAAACTCAAAGGCTAACATGGGCCAAATAAATGAGGCATGCGGCCCGTGAGTTTGACATGCTTGCTGTACACTATTGGTAGGTATGTAAAATGGTACAGCCACTATAGAAAACAGGATAGAAGTTCCTTAAAAAATTAAAAATACAATTATGATATGACCCAGCAATCCTACTTCTGAGTATATATCCAAAGGTACTGAAGTCAGGGTCTTAAAGAGATATATGCACTTCCATGTTCATTGCAGCATTATTCACAATAATCGAGATATGGAAACAACTGAAGTGTCCAATGTCAAATGAATGGATAAAGAGAAGTGGTGTGTGCATACAATGGGTTATTCAGCCTTTAAAAAGCAGAAGGAAATCCTGCCATCTGTCACAACATAAATGAACCTGGAGGACATTATGCTAAGTAAAATCTGCCATTTGCAGACATCCACTTATGAGGTATCTAAAACAGTCTAACTTACAGAAACAGCTTGGAAAATGGTAGTTGCCAACAGTAGGGTTGGGAGAGACAGCAGTTGCTGTTCAACAGGTGCATAGTTTCAATTACTCAAGAGAAATGTGTTAGCGATCTATTGCACAGCATTGTGTCTACAGTTAACAATGCTGTGCTGTACACTTAAAAACTTATGGTGGTAGATTTCATATTAAGTGTTCTTACCACAATAAAAATAAATAAATAAATAAATAAATAAATAAATAAATAAATAAATAAATAAAAAAAATTTGTACAGTGGTTTTAAATTCTCTAAGATCTTTGTTCACACAGGCCTAACTTAGATATAGTTATAGTAGTTTGAAAATATGTAAAAGGCTACTCTGTGTTTTTACCAACTACCTACTTGGTTCACACTGAACAGCTTAATAAGTGTGATGTTTTATGCCCTTCCTTGCAACAATCTTTAGAGCTGTGTGGGTCTAGGACGGTTTATGTCATCCTTTATACATGCCTGGCTTTAGGCTATTGCATCAGTTTCACCTCAGATGACTGTGTAAAGGAAACGTCCAGGTCTTATTTATTTATTTATTTATTTATTTATTTATTTATTTAAGTGTGTTATTATTGATTTTAGAAAGAGAGGAAGGGAGAAGAATAGAAACATCCATGAGAGGGAATCATTGATCTGCTGCCTGCTGCACACCCCCTACTGGGGATCAGGCCCACAACCTGGGCTCCAGGTCTTATTTAAATCAACACCTATGAGTACAGAAAGTTTAGTTCACTTTCTGTTTCTGAAGAGGCACCCATCCCGTTCCAATTAGTGCTCAGTTGCACCCCAGATTTGCAACTCGATCTTCTCAAAAATAATTGTTTTTAAAAGTATACATTACATAGCCAGTAAGATGCACTATACAAAGAGCAATGCACCTTAGACACCAAGCTGCTTCTTAAAACCAGTGATTCCAAGAGATGTTCTCTGCCCACCCCACCCCCAACCCTTCTTCTCCTTTGCCTCTGTTCTGCCATATCCCTACTAACTTTCCTCTTCATCAAAGGCCTTGCCTCATGGTCTACTCCATTCCCACACTCCTCTCTTCTGCCCCTGCCATCTCCTGCATGAATTAAAAAATAAATAAAAACTTTTTACAAAGTCAAGAAGTGAAAACACTCTTCCTCACCCTCCACCAACTGGGCAGAAGCATTTGGCACTGACCTTTTCTAAATGGAAAATGCACAGACCAGGGACATAGAAGGTCTCCATGGCAGTTGTAAGTCCCGCACACCTCATGCTGTGAGCTTCCACACCTTAAATTAACCACCAGCCCTCAGTGTAACAAATTAAAAATCAGGTCAGTCTGGAAGTTAAACATTTATATTTGTGTCATCTTAGCAGATTTTAAAGAAACACTCAGAAAACTGAAAGTACTGAGCAACTCGAGCTGGAGGCCAGGGTGAGGTCTCTTGACAGGTGTCTGATGACTGAGAAAAGGAAACCATAGCAATTGGCAACAATTCATGGGCTTTTGACTTTCAGCTGAAAACCAAAACCACTTTCCAAGAGGACAAATGTTTATGAAATATTCTCTTCAGAGTCAAATGTGCAATTTCCTCACCCCCCTTAAAACATTAAACTTGCAGTGGAAATAATTAAGTCAAAAACCCATGGGTTGTTGCCAATTGCTATGGTTTCCTTTTCTAAGTCTTCAGAGACACCTGTCAAGGGACCCTCGCCGCCAGGCCCGGGCAGGCTTTTCAAACTGCGGATCCCGTCTCAAATAATCGTTACCATAAAGACGGGTTCAGATTACACCCGTTGGAAAAGTCTCAGAACGCTGATGATACAGAACCAACCTGATTTCAACAGTTTTATCCGACACATTACCAGCTTCAATGCTGAGTCAAATTAGAAGCGGTGGAGTCAAGCTCATGATGTATGAAATAGCACTTCCCTCACAGCAGCCTTTCGCCCCTTCCGTCTGAAGCTAGCTCTCTTTGAAATTCAAGAAAATCTCCACCCTACAAAACACTGGCGTTCCCTCGGGTCCCCTTTTACACGTTATTCACATCAGAAATGCTGAATCATGACTCCGAGGTTGTAAAAGAAAAACTATTTCGACTGGGACGCCAGGATCCCCAGTGGCTCCCACGCTTCTGCATTCCTTTGCTTTGCACCTTTTAAAGTCGACATCGGGGTTCTTTCCGCAGTCTGGAGAGGTTCCGGGAGCAGCCCAGGCTGGGGGCCGGGAAAGATCCTCTGCGCGCTCCCCTGCTCCTCCCCCAAACTCAGGCAGCCCTAGCAACTCAGGGGTCCCGCCTCATCTCCTCGGAACGCGACCCCTCAGGCACTGACAGTCCCCATCTGCAAAGCTGCCTAAACGCCTCGGAGAAATTCCCAACTTGGAAGCATCGCCACCACAGCCACCCATTCGGAACTCCTGGGGCCCCGCACTGGTCTCCCCTGACCACGTTCCAGCAGGGGTGGGGGGTGCGGAGACAGCTCCCCCAGCCCCTCTCCCAGTCTTGTTCCGACAGACGAACCCGCCCGGAGCGCAGACTCTTGAGAAACTCGATCCCAACTCCCCAGCCCGCGCCTCCCGAACCGCCCCGGAGCCCAGAGAAGCGGGACGGAGGTCGGCGGAGCAGAGCGGCGTGGAGAGTCTGGAGAGGAGCGAGGCGTGGAGGGGAAGGGGCGGCAAGAACAGAAATGCCCCCCAACCCGGTCCCGCAACTTCGCCCAGCCCGCGTGGGGGGAGTGAAGAGATTGGAACCCGGCGAGCGCGAGGCGGGGACTCACTTGAAGGTGAGGACCAGAGCGGCCGGTAGGACTTGTGGCTGGTGTTCTCGGCCATGCCCTTGCCCCAGAAGTCGTTCGTGAAGATGCTCCAGCGGAGCGGGGTGCCGGGCCGCAGGTCGGGGTTGTTCACGATCGCCCACACGTCGTCGTGCACGAACTCGCCTGCAGGGAG